TGGGCTGGCAGGTTGAGAAGGAACGTCTGAGCGTGTGTGTGTGTGTGTGTGTGTGTGTGTGTGTGTGTGGTGAGAGAGATACCATCTCTGAGATCAATGGAGCTTCGTGGCCGACACACCTGTTCTATTTCTGCTTCTATTATTTCATACACGGCTGCTCCGTGTGTCACACACCTCTGCATGCACTGACCTTTCCGAACTACACACACAGACTCACACACACACAGGTCTCAGGTTAAGCTACAGGTACCACAGTGCAGTGAGCGTGCTGGTTGAACATCAGCCCCTGTGAGTAAATCTGTTCGTACTATTATTATTATTGCTGTTCCTCCAGATGCTCATGTTTATCCTCTGAACCAGCACACGGAGACACAATAACATCCTGATTTCATAAAAATGTAAACGCACCAGAAATGGGAGCAGTTTATTTTGACCCATCGACCCCGGGAGCTGAGGCTGGGTAAAAAGGAGCGTCAACAATTAAATGTTCAACTTTTACAAATATTGTCCTCATGTTCAGCTCTATCTTACCATCACAGTTCAAAATAAGCCTTCTTTTTATCAGACTGAAACAAGCCTCCCCTCAGAAATCCAGTTTTCCTCTTACTGACAGCAGGATAAGGACGGTGTTCCCACATTTATCCAGCCATGTTTTCCAGCTCCTGTGGGATCGCGTGCCATCTCCATCCCAGCAGGCTAAAACTGCCCAGCCCGCCTCACTGTGCTGATTGGCTGACAGCAGCAGCAAAATGGATCCATGAGTGTCACACACCGGATCTGAGAGGACGGACAGTTTTGTCCAAACAGGAGACAGAAAATAAACTGGTGTCTGTGAGGTCACAGTGAGGAGACTCGGCGAAGGTCACGAAACACGACCTTTACAACAATAACAGAGCATGAGACTGTGTGTGTGTGTGTGTGTGTGTGCTGATAATGATGCCATTAAAGCAGCAGGTGTATTTATAGCGCTGTCTGCAAAGGAGAACATTGACCCTCTGAACGGGAGACGAAGAACGATCCTCCCGCGCCGATCGGCGCATCGGGCGACAAGAGAACGCCATCGAACTCGGTCCATCGCGGCAGTTGCTGCTTCATCCCATGACAGCTTGGCCGAGCGTGAATCTTCAAGGAACGTACTCCTCCAAGTTATTTTGGGTCTTCCTCGCCGTCTCTTTCCATTCCTCGGGTTCCACAGAACCGCGACACGGGTGGGTCTCGGGTCCGGTAGCCGAAGGATGTGAGCGGCGAATCTGAAACGGCGCTTGGTGACTTGGACGTGGAGCGGCTTCCTCGTTAGTAACGCGATCCCGATATGTGATCTTGAGCAGCCGTCGAAGGCAACGCTGTTGGAAGACGTCGAAATCATTGTTGGGTCTGCGCCTCGCAGGCCTCGCTGGTTCAAAGACTCATCACCCGTGAAGAAAGAAAGACAAACAGCTCAACTTGCTAGCAAGGGGAGCCTGGTCAGATCCTCAGAGCAGCAGTGTGTGTGTGTGCATGTGGGTGTTTTTGTGTGACTTCCTGCTGATCGCAAAGGGTCACCTCCCCCTCACCCTGCATATGACTCAACCCCTTTTTAACAGTCTCACCACACAGAAGCACAGGTGAGGCCATAAAGGGCAGGAAGTAAAACATCCTCCCTAAATAAGACCAGAAGCTTACATGCAGTGTGCTGTTACCCTCGATGTGGGGAACAGAAAAATCTCTAAACATACAGGTTAAAACAAGGTTTACAGATTTAAGCACAACAACGACAGCATTTAACATTTCACTCTAACATTCATTAAAAGTTTATTTCTACATGTTTATGATGATTCATCACTTCTACCACTGTGTGACACCAAATCCATCACGTAAAGCTGCGAGTGACGAATCGGTTCCAACATTAAATCTTTAAAATGATGTAAAAACGCTGCCACAGTCACTGCTGTGATGTTCGTGCGTGTGTTGTAGTTTTAAAGCAGCTCTTTGTTTGCCTGAGTAAAGTTTTGAGTGCTCCTTTACTCCTGCGTATACCTTATAGCCATATGTTCTCTGATTGGTCGTCTGTGTTATTACCTGTCTCCTCCCCTCCGTCCTTTGTCTTTCTAACGTCTCCGCCTCTTTCCTCCCTTCAGCCTGGCGCTGCACCCGGAGCGCTCCCTGGTGGCGACGGGTCAGGTGGGCAAGGATCCGTATGTGTGTGTGTGGGACACCTTCACCGCCCAGACCGTGTCACTGCTGCGTGACGGACACACACACGGCATCGCCTGCCTCGCATTCAGCGCTGATGGACAGGTGACGCGCACACACACACACACACACACACACACACACACACACAGTCTAAGACTATGATTTTTAAAGATAAGGCTGGAATCAAATGTAAATTTTCTGGAAACTCTTTAGTTTTCATGTGAATGAATGAGCTGCATTAATAATTAATAATCCACCTTAAATCTACAGCATGCAGTGTAATGTAATCTTCAACACTGAGACCCTGCAGCTGGTGGGATCATTTCTATGTGAAGGATTTTGACAAAGATTTGACATTTATGCTGAACACAAACACATCCAGCATAAAAAGCATGAACGATGAAAGTCCTGCATTATTCTTAATGAGCACCAGGGGGCGACAGCAACAAGATTTCTGCTCCTTTAGAAGTGCGACACTTTGCGTCACACTGAGTAAAACATTAGAAATAAGGACCATCCAGCCCGCGCTCGCTGCACTCTCAGGCTTCGTGACATCTTTGATACCGTCTGTGGTTTTGAGTAAATAAGCCCGTGTGGCCCAGTGGGAATCTGTGGTCCACATAAACGCCGTCATCGGTGCTGTCGACTGATATTATTGCTTAGTAACAGGACTTGAGGCCCGTTTTTTGGGTTTACTGGGACCCAGATTATGACTCTGCCCGTGGGGCCCTCATGATGCTTGATGTGACGATAAGCAGACCTCTGAGGCTGAATGTGTCCTGGCGGCTTTTGTCAGATGAGTTTTGAAATTTCCGCTTTAGAAACGTGACAAAGATTTAGTCGTCCATCAGGGCTGTGGGCAGTAAATTTTTCTGCAGAGATAATGAAGCATTATGAAGTTTATCGGGTCAGTCAAAGCCCAATAATCAATCTGTGTGTGTGTGTGTGTGTGTGTCCTGCATCAACCCAAAGGTCATAGAAGAATGACTCGGTGAGAGGAAGGAGGGGCAGGAAAAGGGCAGAGTGAGCTGAGAGGATGATGATAAAAGTAATGACATCATCCATCACTTTGGTTCAGTAACTTACAGTCAAAGGTGGAAAATGAGTGCGGTGCAACCCACCTGTCCTAAACTCACACACAGCATCAACCTCACATCATTTTCTCTACAGCTGCATCGATTTACCGCAGGTCGCTCTGTCAGAGGCGAGCACGCCTGGTCTTCAGACTCTGGCACGATGCACTTTGATTCTTTGGAAGAAGAACGCAGACATCGCGCTAAAGTTCATGTCAGACCCTTGTGTCCTCACAGGGCTCCTCTCTGTGTCAATCAGCACAGTTATTAATGCTTTGTGTGCGACCCCATCGTGCTGCTGAAACACCTCTGAGGACTCCACAAACATCTGCAGGTGCTCCGTAGTATCGCACACCGACGATGGTAGCAGCTGCGACGTGACGCCTCTGTGGACGGGACTTGTTTTTCCTGCACATCCCACCTGCCTGGTTGGATTTCTGGGAAGTCCAATTGGAAAGCTTCCTCGAACTCTTCATCGTGCTCCTCAAACCCTTTCTGAGAACAGAGCAGAGCTTATTAACAGATGGACATCCTCTGTAATGGCCAGCAGGGGGCGGCTGGCTTCAGTGAGCGCTCTCCTGATCAGTTTATGGTCTCAGTCGCTGCTTTCGAGTCTTTTCAAGTCAACATCATATTAATTTAGGAAATTATCCTCCGGTTTGAGTGAGGCAGGACCAGAGAGCGGGACAGGGTTAAAGGTCAGCCCCAAGTCACGGCTGGTTTCAACACACTGAGAAACAATCAACCTCGTTACCGATGACTTTGTCAGTATTTTAAAGGAGCTCCTGAAAATCAAAACCTGATTCAAATTTGACCGACGGCTGATTAAAGATCGTCTTCTCGGGCGCGTCGGGTCGGAGAAACGTCGAGCGCTCGTTCTGTGACGTGTTTCTGTCATAACCAGCAGTTAATGTTGCAGTAGATCAGAATATGAACAGCCGTCCATCCTGTGGCTGATTGTACGTTTGCAGTCTGAATATTGAGGCACGTGTAGCCTTTAGCAGACATTGTGATTAACACCTCGGTGCACAAGCTCGATTCATGACGTGCTTTGGTCAACAGGAAGAGCAACAGTAGCAGGAGATGGTCTGCTTTAAGGCGTGGCTGATCAGTGCCGTCCTCAGTGTGATGCTTTTATTAAAACAGCGTTATTATTCCTTATACTGTGGAAGATGAGCTCTCTAAACACCGGTGGGTTTTTCCTCTCGTCTCCGTGACATGTGCAGTTTTAATAAAGATGCCTTTCACTCATTGCAGTCGCATATCTCCTGCTCCAGTGCTGGATGTTCACAGCCAATCAGAAGAACATTGTCTTAGAGAGGGGAGGAGTTACAACTGCTGCACTGAGGCTCATGAGATAAAGAAGGATTACTTTGAACTGTGAATCATGCAAAGCTGCTGAAGGACATCAGCTGACTCTGAAACCTGAAAATGGGTCAAGATCAAGTCCAGGTTCAGATTTCTGGCTTTTGTAAATGTGAATATTAAAGCGCGTTGCTCCTGAAGCATTGGTTGCTTTCTGCGATCACATGTAGACTCGTACGTGTAGTGACGTTCGTGTCCTCGTGCTTCCCGGACTTTTTTTAGTCCGATCAGATTCCCAGGAGCTGTAATCCAGGAAGCAGACGCTCCATTTGTTCTGCCATTGACTGTCTCGTTCTGCTCCTGACCTAAATGTAGTACGGGATGTGCACGCACATCTCTCTGCATGTTTGATTTCACTCATCTGTGTGTGTGTGTGTGTGTGTGTGTGTGTGTGTGTGTGTGTGTGTGCAGCCTGAGCAAATAGTTCCTTCTCAGCCACCTGGAGTGCTGGAGTTGCTTTTATACGCCTCCTTTTCCCTCCCGCTGACTCCACCGTGACTCATTTAGCAAACAAACCTGGTGGAGTCGCTCTGAGTTTACCGGCAGCACCGCGTCTGACGGCAGCGCCACAGACGCCAAACTCGGTGTCGTGTCAACACGTTAGAATAACTTCTAACGAATGCTTCCCCCAGTCCCTGCAGGTCCCTCCCGTCGTGTCAGCCTGCGGCTGGGAAAATGAAACGCGTCACAAACCAACATATGAAATAACCCTGGGTGTGAGTGGGCGGCGTGCGCGGTAAATAAACTGTTTCTCAGCAACTGATGCTGAAATAAGAAAATCAATAGAGCTGTAAAGAGCGAAATCATAAATAACAGCAGCTTAGAGTCAGACCCGCCTTCACTCACAGAGAACATGATGATGGTGCTGACGGGTTTATCAGCTCTGTTCACGTGCAGCTCAGCTTACAAAATACCCGAATACCTGAAGGTGGGCGTGGACCCGGAGCTGAGGACCATCTTCATCGACCATCTCAGACGTGCTCTCGCTGTCCTCTTTCTGCCGTTTGGTGGCGTTTCTGTGCGTTAGGGAGCGTCAACATGAAAACACCTTAACCATCATCCTCCAGCTCTCCTGTGCTCCACAGCTCCGTAGCCACCCGCCATCGTTATCTGTCGACGGCCCAACATCACTTCACTAATGATGAGATTTCCATCCAAACGTCCTTCAGTCTGAAGACGGTTCGTCATCTTTGGAATTTAAACATATAGAAATGAAAGCAGTGTTGTCTGCAGGGCGGAGCCACACTGTGGGGGGGCCTAACTTTAACTTCCAGGTGTTTTACAGGAAGTGAGGCGTTCCTGTCAAAGCGATTGTGAAAGAAGAACTAATCATTTGATTTGGGTCGAGCATTAAAAGAGAGAGCGGTAAAGGTCGGCTGAATAATACAGCACCCATCGTGCACGTCAACATATTTATTATAAGATAAGGACTCGTGCACGCCACGATGTGGCTGACGAGTGTTTACGATGTACGATGAGACAATCTTCTTCTGCAAAATCACCTTTAAATTCAAACGACTTCTAATTCCTGACGGTGGGATTATTTCCTCCTGATTCTCGTGTATTTACAGGAAAACACTGTAAGTTAAATAAAATGAAATTCCATTAACCTCTTAAGCCCCAAACCTACCTGACCTTTTGCCCCCGTATCAGGGGCGTTGGGGCTTAAGCGGTTAATTAGGAATTCTGCTCTTAGTCCTGTTAATAAGTGTTAGCAGTGACCTGGCCTGGTCCTTGCTGTCAGCTCCTGACGGACTCAGTGAAGACACTAAAAACCTGTTTTTTACTTTGGTTTTGATTTGTGATTCTAACCGTGGAGCCTGGAAAAGCTGAAGTCTTTGTGAGCGTCACAGCAGGACGACTCTGGAAGGTCTGATGCTGAAAACACATCAAACGTTTGCTGGAAAACCAGATCTGAAGGTGTCGTTGAGGTCAGACGGTGATGAAACTGCCAATAAGCTGCACTGGTTCTGGTTTCTGTGGACGTGAGTGATATTAATGAAAACGCTGTCGCTGCTGCTGAGCTGTGAGGCGACTCTGTGAATGCTGAGCCAGCAGTTTCTGCCCCTGGCACTGACTTTGGATGACTGAACATCTCAGGCTAAATCAAAATAAACACACAATCAATAAAATAATCATAACTCCAGCTTAATAATAAATCAAGTGTGCAGGCTGTGGCTGATTTATTGAGGACTGCTGTGAAGCTGAATCCTTTATGATCTGCTGAGTCTTTGATCACTGAAGGAGCGCAGACGTCTGTTTGCGCAGCAGCTCGACGCTCCTTTCAGGTATTCTTCCCGTTAACCTTTCAATTCAATTCAATTCAATTTTATTCATATAGCACCAAATCACAACAAAAGTCGCCTCAAGGCGCTTCATAGATACAGAGGAAACCCCAACAATCATATGACCCCTGTGAGCAGCACTTTGGCGACAGTGGGAAGGAAAAACTCCCTTTTAACAGGAAGAAACCTCCGGCAGAACCAGGCTCAGGGAGGGGCGGGGCCATCTGCTGTGATTGGTTGGGGTGAGAGAAGGAAGACAGGATAAAGACATGCTGTGGAAGAGAGACAGAGGTTAATAACAGATATGATTCAATGCAGAGAGGTCTGTTAATACATAGTGAGTGAGAAAGGTGACTGGAAAGGAAAAACTCAATGCATCATGGGAATCCCTGGCAGCCTACGTCTATTGCAGCATAACTAAGGGAGGATTCAGGGTCACCTGGTCCAGCCCTAACTATATGCTTTAGCAAAAAGGAAAGTTTGAAGCCTAATCTTGAAAGTAGAGATAGTGTCTGTCTCCTGAATCCAAACTGGAAGCTGGTTCCACAGAAGAGGGGCCTGAAAACTGAAGGCTCTGCCTCCCATTCTACTTTTAAATACTCTAGGAACAACAAGTAGGCCTGCAGAGCGAGAGCGAAGTGCTCTAATAGGGTGATATGGTACTACAAGGTCATTAAGATAAGATGGGGCCTGATTATTTAAGACCTTGTATGTGAGGAGCAGGATTTTGAATTCTGGATTTAACAGGAAGCCAAAACAGGAGAAATCTGCTCTCTCTTTCTAGTCCCTGTCAGGACTCTTGCTGCAGCATTTTGGATCAGCTGAAGGCTTTCAGGGAGTTTTTAGGACTTCCTGATAATAATGAATTACAGTCGTCCAGCCTGGAAGTAATAAATGCATGAACTAGTTTTTCAGCGTCACTCTGAGACAGGATATTTCTAACTTTAGAGATGTTGCACAAATGGAAGAAAGCAGTCTGATATATTTGTTTAATATGTGCGTTGAAGGACATGTCCTGGTCAAACATGACTCCAAGGTTCCTCACAGTGTTACTGGAGGCCAAGGTAATGCCATCCAGAGTAAGAATCTGCTTAGATACCATATTTCTAAGATTTTCAGGGCCGAGTACAATAACCTCAGTTTGATCTGAATTAAGAAGCAGAAAGTTAGCGGCCATCCAGGTCTTTATGCCTTTAAGACATTCCTGCAGTTTGACCTCAGCCTTTCCAAGCAAACCTTTGAAAACGCTTTAAAGGTTTGGTCGTTAGAAATAAACTTGAGTTCATCTGAAATGTTGCAGAGTTGCTATATTTACACTTACAAACACGTCACATGAGCGTCAGGCTAATCGAGCAGGGAGCCCCGCCCTCTGTCAGCTTGGATTAAGCTTTTGCACGTATGAAGCAGATGAGCTGTCAGATTTCTGCACGTTCAGCCTCTTTTTTAAATTGTTTGTAGACATTTTGGATGCGTAACCGTCCTCGTCTCTCCTCCGCAGCGGCTGGCCTCGGTCGGCCTGGACGCCAAGAACACGGTGTGTATCTGGGAGTGGAAGAGAGGGAAGATCCTGGCCACGGCCACGGGACACTCGGACAGGGTGAGAGCGTGCACCAATCAGCTTCCTCTGCAGTTAAGCCTCGCCGCTTGCCGCCGTCTGGCAAAGCCTCTGGGCGGTGCCGTCTGAGCGGGACAGAAAATCAGCGTGAAGCACCACACACCAATCAGATCTCAATAAAAAATCTTTTACAGAGTTTGAAAGTGTTTCCTTCTCATCGTACTTCCACTGTGCATGCACGCGTTTTCACATAAACCCGATAACGGACGTTTCTTCTGTTCTCCAGATCTTTGACATCTGCTGGGATCCGTTTCAGCAAAGCCGCCTGGTGAGCTGCGGCGTGAAGCACATCAAGGTAACGCAGAAATCGTCGTTTTGTGCTCGTCTCCAGAAATGTGGAAGTAAAATGTAACGTATTCCTCCTACCCAGAAATATGACTGGTCAGCACATTGACCTTCTCCACCTTCATGTAGCCGCTTAGTTTCACTCGAGGTAATAAAATAGTTCCTCTGAACGCCCGTCATTAAATATCTCTAACGAGCCAAGAAGGAAGCAGATATAAAAGCTGGAGACAACTCCCAGCTCAGCTTCTCTCATCCAATCAGAGTCCAGTCCAGATATCAAAAAGCACCTTTACATGGTTCACTGCTGTGGATTTAAATACAAGACAAATCCAGGACAATTTAGATTGATTTTTCTTTTTTATTTGCTGTTTTGAACACAAACACGACCAAAGCGTGCTCGGTGAGTTGGTGGAGATCACTCTTCCCCAGCCTGCTGGAGCCTCCTTCCCAGTGCTCTCAGTGTTCTCCTCAGTGGTATGCGCGGTAACCCTCTCGCAGGTGCGTCCTCGGCACTCTCTGTTTGGGTTCCTTGTTCCCTCCGCAGACCACTTTCTCTCGCATCTCCGTCACTTTCTCTCGGGTCTCCGTCACTTTCTCTCGCATCTCCGTCACTTTCTCTCGCGTCTCCGTCACTTTCTCTCGCATCTCCGTCACTTTCTCTCGCGTCTCCGTCACTTTCTCTCGCATCTCCGTCACTTTCTCTCGGGTCTCCGTCACTTTCTCTCGCATCTCCGTCACTTTCTGTCGTGTCTCCATCGCTCTCCAGAAACTCTTCCATGAAGCGGTCTAAAACCGGAAAGCCATCCTCCATGAAATGTTCAATGATGCTCATCACATCTTCACGTAGCTTTTCCAACGCCTCTGGCCTGTAGATTCCATGAATGGTGGCCACTTCATGACTGGCTTTAGCGTCCTCAGCCCCGTTTTTCTTTTAGGCTTGTGTTTCAGGTCGTGGTCCATGTTTGCTTCTGTGTTTGTGAAGAAGTAAGCTCAGGTGTGTTTAGTTTTAAACTCTGCAGAGGGAACTGCGATGTAGCCGTTGTCAAGGTGATCATTGGTTCTTATGCAGACAGGGAGGGCGGCAGATTTTCATAGCATAACTTTAACCTTTCACATGCTCACTGTGGTGGTCTGAGCTGAATTTGTTGGGACATCTTGTGCTGACACAGTAAAACATGCTGTGCTTCATAAATTAGAGTCAGAAAGAAGGAAAAGGGAGGGCTTGTTTTAGGGCGGGGCTACTGTGTGATTGACACTTCTGGTGCCCGTTGGTCTTTCAGTTAGCCCCTCCCCTCACTCTTTACATGTGCTTTTGAAACTAAGTCCATCGTTAATCTGCGTCTAGGACGCAGATCTGGCCTCGAACAGTAAGAAGGTGTCTCCCCGTCTCCTTCCTGACCGCCTCCGTTTGTGTTCGCAGTTCTGGTCCCTGTGCGGTAACGCTCTCACACCAAAGCGGGGGATTTTCGGGAAGACGGGCGACCTGCAGACCATCTTGTGTGTGGCCTCGGCTAAAGATGACATCACGTACTCCGGGGCGCTTAACGGAGACATTTACGTCTGGAAGGGACTCAACCTGATCCGAACGGTCCAGTCCGCCCACAGCGTGAGTCTCACCTCTGCTTCCCGTCGCAGCAGAAGGCCAGCGTGACACTCGTCTGCACGTCTGGCTGACGTGGGTCCATCGTTGCTTCATTGTGTGGATGCGTGTGTGTTCTCAGGCCGGTATCTTCAGCATGTATTCCTGCGAGGAGGGCTTCGCCACGGGCGGCAGAGACGGCTGCATCCGACTGTGGGACGTCGACTTCAAACCCATCACTAAGATCGACCTGCGAGAGGCCGAGCAGGGATACAAAGGTACGGTCACGGGGTCACCGCAGGTCATTACAGCAGCAAAGGTGACAGTGTTGCATCACACAGGTGCACACAGGGACGAGGTCTCAGCTTCTAACACGATTTAACAGAAAAGGTTCGTTTGAGGCTGCAAAGTTAAGGTACGGAGAGGGGCTCAGGTGGGAGGGAGGGGCGGGTTTATCTCTATTCTAAACAATGAGGAGGAACGGTCCTTACATCCCGACGGTTCTTTGTCAGCTGAAGGTTTTAAAATGACCTGATTTTCTTTGAGGAGGTTTCTCATCTTTATTTGACCTGATTCAGCTCAAATCCAGAGGTGGTGGCTGTTTGAACCCCTCGCCTCCCCCTCCTCTGAAATGTCGCTGCCCAGCAGGAGGTGCAGACGTACGCTCTTCCTTCAGGAGCAGCTCGAGGGCGAGCCATTAATCCCACCGCCTCCTTTTAAAATCTCCTCTCTGAAGATTTTGAGGAAGAAGTTAAAAAGGAAGAAAAGATGAAAGGAAGGAGGCAAAAGTTTTGTCAGTTTGAAACGAGTTCTCCTCTTTAACACATCTCTGCTGCAGACACGATGGAGCTTCTGATTAACCGTCAAAGTTCATCTCCTCAAAAACATCCTGAAACCAGTCGCTGTGACATCTGTGGACAGGAAATGTGGGAGCATCCTGCTCTAGGACAGCTTTGCATGATTCTCCTTGTTTCTTATAACGCTCAACGGTTTGAATCCGTCCGAGTTCTGACATTGACCGACGTGACCCAACAGATACAAACCTGCCATCTCATGGTGGATTAGTCTGAAAGGCTGCTAATATATCGGCGCCTAAAAATGTTGGAGTTCCACGCCCGATGAGACGACGAGCCCGTCCTCTTCGCCTCTCGCTGCTCTGTACGTGGACAGGAAGTCGGTTTGTTTCTGCTTCCTTCTCCTCTCCCGCGGTGCGCCGCGCTCTTCCTGCGTCTGAAGCTGAAGAAAAAATAATCGTTCCCAGTTATTTCCCACGTGCCTCACAAACTCCTCTGCTGTCGGCCTGTTTTGGCTGCTGAACCTCTGGAGTTTCTAACAACATTACAGGAAAACATCACATGCTGAGCGATGCCATCAGCCACAGTAGATGCTCTTAATTGGCGAGCGCTGAGCTGCTGAGCAGCCCTGCTAATTACATTTCCGATGGTGGAAAAAAGCAGTTTTAGCAGCAAAACTTTAAAAAAACACGAAGGTTGAAGCCGAGCTGAGTCAGCAGGTTGAACTACATTCACAAAGTCCAGATCTCCCTCTGATCAGACACCTCCTGCGCTCCTCCTGGGGGTGTTCTGAACTGAGATGAATGATGTGAGTGTCCACGTGTCTCTGCTGTAGTGCAGGTGTGCGTTTCAGTCGAACCGGATTCTTTTCCTAAAACTAACCGAATCATTTTTGGTGCTTTTAAAGTGAAAATAAAAAACGAAGCAGTCCAGAGGTTCATGGAGCTCCGTCCACCGTCACCTGGCTGCACCGCCACCTCTCCAGCCTCCAGCAGCCAGCGACAGCGGAGCTCGTCTTCATTTATTTAGTGGATTTAACCACCAAGTTCATCAAGACCGAGGACCTGCTTCCTCTGCAGCGCTGTCGTCTTCCATTTTTATCCTCCTGTTTGCTTCTTTTCCTCTCCACTGGTTTTATTTTTGTCTTTCTCCTGATGTTTTGACAGTTTTGTGTCACCTTACCTTCTCCTTTCCTCTCCTCCCTCCTTCAGGTCTGTCTATTCGCAGCGTCTGCTGGCGAGCCGACCGGATCCTGGCAGGGACGCAGGACAGCGAGATCTTTGAGGTGAGGAAGAAGACGAAACCTCACGCTGTTCCCTCCCTGCGGCGACGCGTTTCAAAGAGTTTTATTTTTGTGAAGACCTCCTGCTGACACGCAGGCAACAAAATGTTCTCATTAATCAAAACTGTGAAGAGTTTCTAATGTCAGGCAGTTTTAGCAGCTCAGATCGGCACTGAAACGTGCGTGATGTGGTGCTTTAAAATGTGAAAACCTGCTCTTGAGTTGTTGTACCTGTGCAGGTGATGGTGCGGGACCGGGACAAGCCGCTGCTCATCATGCAGGGACACAGCGAGGGCGAGCTGTGGGCGCTCGACGTTCACCCCAAAAAGCCTCTGGCTGTCACCGGCAGCGACGACCGCTCCGTCAGGTCGGTGCTCTCTTTGGACTGTGAATCATGCAAAGCTACTGTGGCTGAGTGTGAAAATGGAAGCACAGAGCTGAGGCGAGCAGAGTGATACAGATCCTTACACTGAGTGCTGCTTTGGCTCTTCCTCACAAAATCACTTTGTTTTCATCTGTTATGAACAAAAACTGACAAATCTGAACCTGAAACAACCTGAAATCAGCTCATGGAGACATCATGTTGCATTTGTACCTTTCTTAAAAATATCAAAGATTATAAATTTAACTTGTTGATTACACCTCTGTGTGTGTGTGTGTGTGTGTGTGTGTGTGTGTGTGTGTGTGTGTGTGTGTGTCAGGTTGTGGAGTCTGGTGGATCACGCGCTCATCGCTCGCTGTAACATGGAGGAGGCGGTGCGCAGTGTGGCGTTCAGCGTGGACGGATCCCAGCTGGCTCTGGGCATGAAGGACGGATCCTTCACTGTGCTGAGAGTCAGGTGACACACACACACACACAGCTCTTAATTGGTTTCCTATGTGAATGACAGATTATGTACGTCCAGTCTTGGTGCCTGTGTACAAATTAAAGCTGTTTCTGTAAAGTGTTGATGGTTTTCTTCCTCTCTCTGTCCTGTGGTGTCCCCCAAGGCTCTAGTTTTGGCCCATTACTGCTTTCTTTACATACGTTAAAATGTCTTAAAGACCTAAAGAATAAACATGAATTTAATTTTATGTTTGTGAAAGAATAAAACAGGTTGTTATGTTTGTGCTGCCTCCGTTGGCCACTCAGCGTCATGCATCCATCAGTCTGGGACACGAACATGTGATTACTCCAGTTTTGGAGTCACTGCATTGACTTCCTGTCAGTTTTAGGCTTGATTTGATTGTTTTAAAGATTTTAAATGTGCCGGCACGGCTGCACCGGTCTGATCCTAGTCGTGTTCACGCTCCTGTCAGAGCATCGCGGCCTGCTGATCAGGTGATCGTCCATATTAGGATTTAGACTTAAAGTTAGAGCGATGGAGCTTTTTCAGCTCTTACTCCGAATCTCTGGAATATCGAATACCGTCCCATTTCACCGCCCGACCCGTTTCTACTTTTAAGATTTCTGCTTATAATCAAACTCATTTCTACTCTCTGGCCTTTAACTTGAACAAGCCTTTACGTTAAATGTGCTGTACGAACACAGTCACGCTGTTTTTGTAACGTATGCGTGTGCTGGTCTCCGCTCCTCTCAGAGACATGACTGAGGTCGTTCACATCAAGGACAGGAAGGAGGTGATCCACGAGATGAAGTTCTCGCCGGACGGCGCCTACCTCGCTGTCGGCTCCAACGATGGACTGGTGGACATCTACGCTGTCGCCCAGAGATACAAGAAGGTCGTGTTGGAGAGACAGCGAAGAAGGTTGAGATGTTAGAAGCGAAGCTAACTCCGTCTCTGACTGTCTGCAGGTTGGAGAGTGCAGCCAGTCCTCCAGTTTCATCACTCACCTGGACTGGACGCTGGACAGCAAGATCCTGCAGACCAACGACGGAGCTGGAGACCGCTTCTTCTACCGGATGCCCCGTGAGTCTCTGGGGTCGTAGGTCAAACCTGAAGCTGGGCTGATTCTGCTCATTCTCACCATCTTTTTATTCTTGGCCTCCGCCTGAGTAGCTTTGCATGATTTAGAGCTCAGAATAATCCTTATTCATCTTACACTGGGCCTACAAAACCTAAACCAACATTGAAAGCGTTAAAGTGACAAAGTGAAATAAAACCAGCAGAAATAAACTGAGTTTAAAGTGAACCCTGTGACGCCGACTCCATGCTCTCGTATCTTTGTGAATATGCTGTCGTGCTGTTTTTGCAGAATGCTGATGTTTAAAAAAAAGTTGGAGCCATGTCAGCATCCATTCTTTTTAATATCGCTGGTTTAGCTGACTCTGTGTTTTCATATTTAATCGGCCTCTGAGGACCGAGTGGGCGCTGGAGACGTCCGTCTGCTCTGCAGGTAGCGCTCGTCTGCAGAAGCTGGAGCTCTCCTGCTCATTCCCACCTCCTGAACACCACCAGGGCAGCTGTGGATGATTTACATCCATCTTCTTCCGCTTGTCTGGGGCCGGGTTGCGGGGGCAGCAGCCTAAGCAGAGAAGCCCAGACCTCGCTCTCCCCAGCCACCTCCTCATTTTAAAGAATCAATCGATCAAACTTGAGACGCTTCTCTGAATTACAGGATAACAATAATAATAATCTCAATTCTTAATCAGATATTAAAATATAAACACTAAAGTCACGTACGTGTATTTACAGTCTACATATTTTAAGAATAAAGACAATAATTGTTGTCAAAATCTATGTTTTTATAATATTTAAGAAATTAAATGATGTTGTTTAATATTGATGATCAGAGCGATGTGCTCTTCTAAGTGTGGGATCTAAACGCAGCTCATTGTCAGGATCCTGGACGCATCGTGATAAAAGAGACACGAGGACGAGCTTCAAGAAAGCTCTGAAAACAGTAATAAGAAGCTTTAACGTCTTTGTTCTCATGATGAAGATATTCGTCACTATTTTGGGTCCCACTAAAAAAACAAAGCCTGTTACATCCCTGTGAGGCCTCAGAGTTTAATGAGCTGCTGTATAAATAAACTCTGCTTATTTCAGCCTCTTTTATTTCACTTTAATGCGTCTCTGATGTTTTACTAACTTTGGACTCTCGAGCCTCATTATCGAGATCGGACCATCAAAAAATCTCTTTTTTCTCACAGTTTACTGGAGACTTCCTGTTAACGCAGTACTCTGAGGACAGTTTCACTACCTGCAGCGTGCTCATTACTGACAGCTCAGTGCAGGGCCGTGGCTCATGGGGGCCCGAGGGGGCTCCGCCTCCTGCAAGTCGTTTTATTTTGTTTGTTCCCGGTACGACACTCCGGGTATCCGCTGGGTGCAGAGGTCACGACCAACAGCATCACACGTGTGACCAGGTGACACAGCAGCCTGATGAAGGTCTTATCTTTAAGCGCAGGTCGACATGTTAGCGTTAGCGAGCATCAGTGCTTAGCGCCTAGCCTCACAGCCTTCAGTGGGAGCGTTTGGTTCTGCAAATACTTTCAATGATTTATTGAAATGTGCAAACACACGTGTAAATACATGTAAATACAGTGTATATGATAAAAACCTGCTGACGTCACCACTGACTGACGTGACCATGATGTTGATCCATCAGACCTGATGCTCTGGTCTTCTTGTCTCAGACCGCGGCCTTTCCTCCTGTTCACCGACACATTTGTGATGAGGCTTCAGTGAACAGCAGAGGATCAGCTGAAGGACCCGTGTTGGGTCTTTGCTGGACATGATGTTCATCTGCTGTAGACGGTTTTAGACCCTTGAAGGATTCGCTGCACACCTGCTGAGACACACCAAGTTTCCACCGTGTTGATGCAAAACTACAGTTTTATGTCAAGCTGTGGCTGCTGCTAACAAAGAGCCTAAAGACATTTAAAACGGGTTCTTTGCAGAGTCGAACAGATTCCTGACGTCTGTGCAGCTGTCAGTAAACTCTCAGACAGCAAAGCTGCACAGCCTGTATCGACACTGGCATCTCAGAATTGCACAAAATGCTTCAGTCAGACTAAAAACAAACATTTAATGATTCTGTCAGAAGTTAAAAGGCTTTTTTAGCTCGTTGCAGGTCTCCACAGAGGGAGGAGCACGCACCGGAGCGCAGGAGGCTGTCCTGGTTGAGTCCTGCTCCTTCAGCCTGTCTCCTGCACATATTCATGCCTGCGAAGGACAAGCTGCAACACTTAAATTCAAAACACGCAGAAACCCGCGGAGAGAAACGCCGCCGGCAGCGACGCAGATATGAATCTGCACCGTGAACACGTTTCTCTATCTGCTTCTGTCGGCGCGGCGGCGTCGATAAAATCTGTGGCGCTGCTGTGTATCACTTACGTCAGCACAGAGATCAGCCGCGGCGCCCTAAACTATGGAAATGAGTTTTATTCTTCGGTCGTCACTGCCGTCTTCTTCTTCCTGTCCTCCCGCAGTGGGGAAGCTGGTCAATAAGGAGGAGATCAAAGGTCAGCGCTGGGCCTCCTGGAGTGGCGTGCTGGGCTCAGAGGTCAGCGGCATCTGGCCTAAATACTCAGCCCAGACCGAGATCAATGCCGTGGACGCCAACCCCTCCGCCGCCGTGCTCATCACCGGAGACGACCTCGGCCTCGTGAAGCTCTTCCGCTTCCCCTGCGTGAGGAAAGGTCTCCGTCTCCTCCGTCTCTCCGCTCCACGCCTTCTTTCCTCTGCTTCTTTCCTTTCATAACAAACCTGTGTTTCCTCCAAGGAGCCAAGTTTAAGAAGTACATCGGCCACTCGGCCCACGTCACCAACGTCCGCTGGTCACATGACCTGCAGTGGGTGCTGACCACAGGTGGGGCCGACCACGCCCTCTTCCAGTGGAGGTTTCTGCCGGAGTCGGTCATGAACGGAGGCCCGGACGTCAACATCCAAGGTACCCGTGAGTAACGGAGGAATCCAGCCCGCACACGCTCGCTGGAAACACCAGCCTGGGACAAACGTGAGCTTTTAGAGATTAGATCCAGCTCGGCCATCCAAGCTGCACTGGGGTCCCAGCAGGCCGTGGATAGGCTGTCGTAGTCCCACACAGACCTACAGGTAGTCAGTGGGTTCATATGTAAGAGCTTATTTATCTAAAGATTTAAATCACACGCACAGTCACCTCAAGGTGCTTTACACTGTAACACAGAGAAACACCAACAGTCACACGATCTGAAAAGATGCTTTTTAGCAGGAAGAGAAACATGCAGAAGAAGTGTGTGTTTTAAATATAATAATAATGATAATGATAAAGCATGTACAGATATCTATGCACTATGCAGGTAAAGCCAATACTTTTATATTTTATTTATGAGCATGTGAAAAACCAAAAAGTAAAATAAAAGAGATTAAAAAACATTAGAAGCAAAGTAGAAGCCTGTGATTGTGACTCTGGTGTCTTTGGTATTGTCTCCTCTTCAGACAGTCACGGAGACTCCAACAGCGAGGAGTCGGACAGCGACGTGTCTGACGTCCCGGAGCTCGACTCTGACATCGAGCAGGAGACGCAGATTCACTACGACAGACCGGTACGACCTGCACGGCGGCGGCTGGTCGGGGGCCTCAGGTGCTCCACGCTGGCCCCGCCGAGCGGCTGTGAATGTTTCTGCTGCGGCGCCCGCTTCAGTGCGTCCGCCTCGCTCTCATTCCCATCAGCCTGCAGGGCTCAGTGTAGTTTCCATGGTGATCATGAAACACGCCTTATCTCCTCTGCCAGCCGCTGCCTGGCACACGTCCCTGTGACTGCTGTTTGCAGGGCGCCGCCAGCGTTGCAACAATATGCTGCTTGTAGATAGAGCTGAGTGTGTGTGTGTTTGTGTTTAGACTTGGTCTCTGGCTCAAAAGCTTAATTAGCTCGAGCCTGAAAAAGTGGATTATTAAAATTCCCACGCTCAGCCTGCCCGGCTTCCTTCCCTGTCCCCTTCCCTCACATAATCCCTGCTTCCTTCTCTCCTCCCTTTTCCTAAACACCTCCTCTTTCAGTTTTTCCTTCTCATCTCCACGTTTTTGCTCCTTCCCGCCCTCTGCTTCTGGTTTCAGCCCTCTTGGAGGCATGACTCTTCCATGTGTAGTTTCAGTCGATCTGGCACCGCCCACAGCTCGTAGCCATAGCTGAGGACGAGAGATCGACGCTTTGATTTCATGCTCGGCTCTCTCTCCGCCTCCATCCATCATTCACACCTGTCCATCTCCTGCTCCACCCGCCGCTCGCTGCTGAACACGGAGGGTCGAAGACCTTCTGCACAAACCGCACTTTCCCGACCAGGACCTCTTTGTTCCTCTTAGATGCTAATAGATATCTTGTTGCCAATAATAATCGTTTTTCTTGTTGATGGGCTGTTTACACTGGAAACATTCGTCTCTCACAGACTGTTGATAAATGGTCAGACTCTCAAACACCAGCGAACAGATGTGTCTGAGCCGAGGCTGCTGGCTCGCTCACCTGCTTTATTTCATACTGGCATGAACATAATAACTGAACATCAGCATTAAGTGCTGTTTATTAAGCAGTAAGTGCAGAGAGGTTTCAGTGCTCTCCTTTAGATTAAAATAAAAGTCAATAACTGAATTCAAGGAGCTGTTTGGCTTTGATTTATTGTCTCTGGAGGTGAAGTCGAAGCAACCGAATCGTCTCCGGTCACAGTTAAACGCTCAGCCGCCGTGACTCTGCAGCGTTTTGTAAATGAAAGCAAAGGGAAAGTGGAGCGCCGCCAGTCCCAAACCTCCAGGGAGCAAAGCCGGTCCCTGCGAAAGTCTCAAACACGCCGACTCGACCTCGGCACATAAAGAGCAGGTGCAGTCTGTGTGCTGAGGGTGGAGGCACTGCAGTCTGCAGCTCAGCAGGCCAGCGTGTGGACAGCAGATCTACCACTTCCTGTCCTCCAAAGCCTCCACACACAGCACTGACTGCAGCTTTGCAGCACTAACACATGCAGTCGTCACAAAGCTGAAAGCTTTTACCGCCGTCGCAGGTTGAACGCTCTGCTCAGCGATGTGCTTATTTACAGGGCTATTCTTGGTGCGCTCCCATCTCACTGACCCACATCTATCAGAGAAGTGTGGGCAGGTATCGGTCCTTATCTTTGGAGACTTGTTATTTCTTCTTCCTCTGAAGCTCGGACTGAGTTTGAGAAAAAAGGCGTTGGGGTTCGCAGCTCCATCCGCCTGCAATCAGCTGCAAAATCAATGAAATGTTTGGTAAATGTGCTGAAGGTGAGCTGGTTACTGCAGGCTGCACCTGTTGTTCCTGAGCATCGCAGCTCCTGCAGAAGCTTCTGATTCTTTGTCTCACCTGCACCTGCTGCCTCACTTTGTTTTGCTGCTGATTGAACAGATTTCATCCGGGATGTTTTTATCCGTCGCCGGTGTTCCTGGGTAAATAAAGATTAGGTTTCGGGATAATCAGCATGGCTGTATACGATTCTCTTCATAAGAAGTGAAAATCACCCTGAATCTGAAATCTGTTCATTGCATGTGTACGTTGAGGTGTTTTGAGCTTCTGATCCTCTGCAGCAGCAGCAGCAGTGTTGGGCGTTCATGCTCTCCAAGGAAGAACCCTTTCAGTGTAAATGTCTGTTTCCTGTCTGGATTACCTCCACGTGAGCGTTGGAGCGTGTTTGCTGTCTGCGCAGGTGTATAAGGAGGACCTGCCTCAGCTGCGACAGCAGAGCAGAGAGAAGAAGCAGCAGGTTGGATCTCTGAAGAGGCAGAAAGGACCGGACCAAGGCCTGCGACTGCAGTTTGTTCACGGGTAACTCAGCCGGCCTGTGGTCGTTGTAACATGCAAGCTTTATGTCATTAAAGGTCACACGTGGGGCGTGTTTTTACTGCGGTTGAGTGATATTAGATATTATTATAACGGTGTTGTGTTAAAATCTCGTACACACCGCTGAGCATAATCATCGTTTATCCTCTACAAGACATTAAAATAAGAAACCACACAGACACGTTTCTGTGGGTGTAACAGAGAGACAACACTGCCACCATCAGGTCAAACTGCAAACAGCATCAGCCAAAGATGTGCATGATCACACGTGTGTGTCTGTGCAATACTAAAAAATGATTTCTCTGTGCAGTTACCGTGGCTACGACTGCAGGAACAACCTGTTTTACACGCAGGGCGGGGAGGTGTTGTACCACGTAGCAGCGGTGGGCGTGGTCTACAACCGTCAGCTGCATAGCCAGCGCTTCTACCTGGGCCACGACGATGACATCCTGAGCCTCAGCATCCACCCGCTGAAGGACTACGCCGCCACGGGACAGGTGAGGCAAACACGGGACCGACGGTCACGTGGTCGTCTGGACTGTGATGGATGATGCTGTGTTTAAGGCTACAATCGAATGTTGAACAGAAAGATACTTTAGCATTTAAAGCAGGGGTGTCGAACTCCAACCCTCGAGGGCCGGTGTCCTGCAGGTTTGAGATCTCATCCTGGGTCAACACACCTGAATCACATGATGAGTTCATTCCCAGGTCTCTGGAGAACTTCAGTGCATGTTGAGGAGGTCATTTAGCCATTTAAATCAGCTGTGTTGGATCAAGGACACATCTGAAACCTGCAGGACACCGGCCCTCGAGGCCTGGAGTTCAACACCTGTGGTGTAAACGGACCTGGAAGGTCTCTGGGCTGTGACTTAAAGACAGTTTAGTTTTATCCATAATCGGTATTTATTTGGATAAAGTTGAGTTTTGTTGATCATGCTCCACGTTTCCAAATCTGCACATTTGGAGTGCCGCAAGGATTGATTTTAGGGCCTCTGTTATTTAGCTTGTATATTACTGACCTCACACTGGGCTGTGAGGATGTTCAAATTCTCCTGTGTGCAGATGACAGTCGTCTGTGGCCACAAAGCTTTGTGTACACGGTCCCTGCGACCCTGACATGGATTGATATATGGATGGGTGGATGGATGGATGGATGCATGAATGGATGGATGGATGCATGGATGGATGGATGCATGGATTGATAGATGGATGGATGAATGGATGGATGGATGAATGCATGAATGGATGCATGGATGAATGGATGGATGCATGGATGGATGGATGCATGGATGAATGGATGGATGGATGCATGAATGGATGGATGAGTGGATGGATGCATGGATGGATGGATGCATGGATGGATGGATGAGTGGATGGATGCATGGGTGGATGAATGAATGGATGGATGCATGGATGAATGAATGGATGGATTGATGGATGGATGGATGGATGAGTGGATGGATGCATGGATGGATGGATGGATGGATGAGTGGATGGATGCATGGATGGATGATGGATGGATGGATGGATTGATAGATGGATGCATGGATGGATGGATGCATGGATGGATGGATGAGTGGATGGATGCGTGGATGGATGATGAATGGATGGATGGATGGATGGATGGATGGATGGATGGATGGATGGATTGATAGATGGATGCATGGATGGAAGCATGGGTGGATGGATGCATGGATGGATGGATGGATGGATGGATGAGTGGATGGATATTTGGATGGATGAATGGATGGATGGATGGATTGATAGATGGATGCATGGATGGATGGATGGATTGATAAATGGATGCATGGATGGATGGATGAGTGGATGGATGCATGGATGGATGATGAATGGATGGATGGATGGATTGATAGATGGATGTATGCATGGATGGATGGATGCATGGGTGGATGCATGGATGGATGCATGGATGGATGGATGAGTGGATGGATGCATGGATGGATGGATGATTGATAGATGGATGCATGGATGGATGGATGCATGGATTGATAGATGGATGGATGGATGAGTGGATGAATGCACGGATGAATGAATGGATGGATTGATAGATGGATGGATGAGTGGATGGATGGATGGATGAGTGGATGGATGATGAATGGATGGATGGATGGATGGATGGATTGATAGATGGATGTATGCATGGATGGATGGATGGATGTATTGATAGATGGATGTATGCATGGATGGATGGATGCATGGATGGATGCATGGATGGATGGATGATTGATGGATGGATGGATGGATGCATGGATTGATAGATGGATGAATGGATGGATGGATGAGTGGATGGATGGATGGATGGATGGATGGATGGACGCGTGGATGGATGCATGGATGGATGGATGAGTGGATGGATGCATGGATGGATGAGTGGATGGATGCACGGATGGATGGATGAGTGGATGGATGCATGGATGGATGATGAATGGATGGATGGATGGATTGATAGATGGATGTATGCATGGATGGATGTATGCATGGATGGATGGATGGATGGATGGATTGATAGATGGATGAATGGATGGATGCATGGATGGACGCATGGATGGATGGATGAGTGGATGGATGCATGGATGATTGATAGATGGATGCATGGATGGATGGATGGATGGATGCATGGATTGATAGATGGATGGATGGATGGACGCATGGATGGATGCACGGATGAATGAATGGATGGATTGATAGATGGATGCATGGATGGATGAGTGGATGGATGGATGGATGAGTGGATGGATGCATGGATGGATGATGGATGGATGGATGGATGGATGGATGCATGGATGGACGCATGGATGGATGGATGAGTGGATGGATGCATGGATGGATGGATGAGTGGATGGATGCATGGATGGATGGATGAGTGGATGGATGCATGGATGGATGGATGATTGATAGATGGATGCATGGATTGATAGATGGATGGATGGATGGATGGATGCATCGATGGATGGATGAGTGGATGGATGCATGGATGAATGAATGGATGGATTGATAGATGGATACATGGATGGATGAGTGGATGGATGGATGGATGGATGCATGGATGGATGGATGCATGGATTGATGGATGGATGGATGAGTGGATGGATGGATGGATGGATGAGTGGATGGATGCATGGATGGATGAGTGGATGGATGCATGGATGGATGGATGCATGGATTGATTGATGGATGGATGGATGAGTGGATGGACGCATGGATGGATGATGGATGGATGCATGGATTGATAGATGGATGGATGAGTGGATGGATGGATGGATGGATGGATGAGTGGATGGATGCATGGATGGATGAGTGGATGGATGCATGGATGCATGGATTGATAGATGGATGCATGGATGGATGGATGAGTGGATGGGCTTGTCTGATTGTCTATTTTTTATCATTTTAAGGTGGATATTGGATAAGCAGTACTTCTCCAGTTTTATGGACTGCATACTGCACCGTGTAGGTTTTTTTGGACACTCCGAGTTGCCGTGACTATTATTAATCGGCTTTGATCAGCTTATCTGTTGTTTCATGTTTTGCTATTTAAAACTTGTTGTTCTGCAGGTGTTGCAGGAGCTTTAGTTTCTTCAGACCGTCTGCACCTTCGTCTGCTCTGCCACAAACCTCTCGCTGTTTCTTCTTAACGTCGCATTTAATGTTGGTGCTGTGCAGGTGGGGAGGGACCCGGCCGTCCACGTGTGGGACATCCAGACTCTGAAGTGCCTCTCTCTGCTCAAAGGCTTTCATCAGAGAGGAGTGTGTGCGCTGGACTTCTCAGGTGTGTGTGTGTATATGAGCACGTACACACTGTGTATAAGGATGGATGGCAGCACCGTGATTGATAAAATCCTGCTTTAAAGACTTAAAGAACTGAGCGTCTTCACCATGTTGGTAAAACCAGGGGTGATGGACGAGGGCGGAGCAGCTGTCTGGTCCTTTGTGACTATCATGGAGACATAATTTACAAAATAAACAGGACAAATTAGAGTGAACGTCTCGCACTTCAGTCCACCTTTTATAGGCACAGTGCATTAGAGATCCACAGGACACGACACATTCCCACCTCACTGGAAACATCAAAACTTGATTAAAAGCATTAAAATAAAGGTAAATGACAATGTGACATTAAGAAAACGAGCCTGAGAGTTCACAGATACTAAAACTGTCAACATCGTATGAAACAAAGTCGTCTCTGGAGGCGTTCACGACATTTTTGTGTCTGCAAAAGATTTCGACGTCACTGCAAACTGTGGTCGACACGACTGAAAAACTGTGGGTGTGTTTTACACGCCAGCTTATTTTAAAGCTTTGATTGGACTCACAGTAAACAGCTGATCTGTGTTTCCTCTCACAGCTGATGGGAAGAGTCTGGTTTCGGTGGGAATCGATGATGGACATTCGATCGTCGTCTGGGACTGGAAGAGAGGAGAGAAGCTCGCCACTGCCCGGTACTCGCCTGTCTGCTGCTGACCTTAACGTTTACCTGCACAGAGCTGCAGCTGACGGTTACTGACTGTCCGTCTTCTCTCAGGGGTCACAAGGACAAGATCTTCGTGGTGAAGTGTAATCCCATGGTCACGGACAAACTGGTCACTGTGGGAATCAAACACATCAAGTTCTGGCAGCTTGCAGGTAAAACTGCAGCGTCGATGTTTCACTTTGTCGTTTAGCTTTTATCCCACAGCCGCTCGCCATAACTGGCACCAGTTTAAGCAGGTGAGCCGGCCCCGTACAGGCGTTACAGGTGTGAGGTTTTACCCTGGCAGTCTGTGGGGACTGACTGGAGCCCCTGCTGGACACTAGAGGAGCTGCTGGAGGGTGCTGTAGGTCACAGTGTGACGGAGCACTTCCCCTCTGTCCTCCAGGTGGCGGTTTGACCTTCAAGCGCGGCGCTTTTAGGAGCATCGGCCGGCCGGAGACCATGATGTCAGTGTGCTACGGCCGCACTGAGGCGCTGGTGTTCTCCGGAACCGCCACCGGAGACGTTTACATCTGGAAGGAGCCGCTGCTGCTGAAAACGGTGAAGGCCCACGACGGGCCGGTGTTCGCCACGTTCTCCCTGGACAAGGTGAGGAGGGCAGACCTGAACCCCACCCACGGCCTCTGTGAGGTATTTAAACTCAGTGACATCTGCTTGTCTGCAGGGCTTTGTGACGGGTGGGAAGGACGGCGTGGTGGAGCTGTGGGACGACATGTTTGATCGCTGCCTGAAAACCTACGCCATCAAGAGAGCAGCGCTGTCCCCGGGGTCGAAAGGTGCTTAGATTCAGTCACGATTACAGCTCCACCTTATCGTTTAAGGTGGACTGACTGTGCCCTGATCCCACCAATCAGAGTCTGAGATTCTGTTTGGACACGCAGCTCAAAGCACGCGAGAGCGGCGTGACGGCTGATGATGTCATCAGTTTTTAAAGACTCTGATGGCTGAGCTGATGTTTACAAAGATAAACAATAAGCAAACGTTTGATGCTGAAACGTGATCGTGGTGTAAACTCAGCCAGATGTTAAACATCTGCATGCTGTGTCACTACGAGCCTCAGCCAGTGGGTTTGCTGCCTGTACCAGGCTCACCTGTGGCGTCTCCTGACAGGTGAGACTCAAACCCACTGACCACTTCATGTTTTCAGTTTTTCTCCTAACAACACAGAGATGCTCTGTAACTCGGTGGAGTTTCATATGTAACCTGTGGAGCAGAACCTCTTCTGTCCAACGCTGCCATCATGTGGACGTGCAGCTGAAACTGCAAAAATATCCAGGTTTGGAAAAGAGAGCAGTTACTGGAAAGAGCCGCCTTTAGTCCAGGCTGCTCAGCCGATCACAGAGACGATTACAGAGAGACAGTAATTAAGCCAACCCGATCGCCCAGGACACAGGGAGATCTTTTTGATTTTGCTTTAATCATTTCGGCAGCTTCATCTTTATAAAAAGGAAACGAGGCAGACTAGAGAAACTCAGACCGAAAAACAACTACAGAGAGACTTTACAGCAGAAACAGAGACCAGAAAAGACGATACAGAGATGTGTGTGTGTGCAGGACTGTTGCTGGAGGACAACCCGTCCATCAGGGCCATCACCCTGGGTCACGGTCACATCCTGGTGGGAACCAAAAACGGAGAAGTTCTGGAGATTGACAAGACCGGACCCATGACCCTGCTGGTGCAGGTGGGAATACTGTGTGTGTGTGTGTGTGTGTGTGCGTGTGTGTGTGTGTGTGTGTGTGCGTGTGTGTGTGTGTGTGTGCGTGCACCTGTTTCCATGGTGAGGGGACGTCTGGTGCCTGTGGACCTGATTTCAATTCAATTCAGTTTTATTTATACAGCATGAAATCACAACAACAGTCGCCTCAAACTCTTTATATTGTAAGGCAGACCCTACAATAACACATACAGAGAAAAACCCAACAATCATGTGACCCCGTATGAGCAGCACTTTGGCGACAGTGGGAAGGAAAAACTCCCTTTTAACAGGAAGAAACCTCCGGCAGAACCAGGCTCAGGGAGGGCGGGGCCATCTGTTGTGACCGGTTAGGGAGAGAGAAGGAAGACAGGATAAAGACATGCTGTGGAAGAGAGACAGAGATTAATAACAGATATGATTCAATGCAGAGAGGTCTGTTAACACATAGTGAGTGAAGAAGAAACACCCAGTGCATCATGGGAATCCCCAGCAGCCTATTGCAGCATAACTAAGGGAGGATTCAGGGTCACCTGGTCCAGCCCTAACTATATGCTTTAGCAAAAAGGAAAGTTTGAAGCCTGATCTTGAAAGTAGAGATAGTGTCTGTCTCCTGAATCCAAACTGGAAGCTGGTTCCACAGAAGAGGGGCCTGAAAACTGAAGGCTCTGCCTCCCATTCTACTTTTAAATACTCTAGGAACAACAAGTAGGCCTGCAGAGCGAGAGCGAAGTGCTCTAATACGGTGATATGGTACTACAAGGTCATTAAGACAAGATGGGGCCTGATTATTTAAGACCTTGTATGTGAGGAGCAGGATTTTGAATTCTGGATTTAACAGGAAGCCAAAACAGGAGAAATCTGCTCTCTCTTTCTAGTCCCTGTCAGGACTCTTGCTGCAGCATTTTGGATCAGCTGAAGGCTTTTCAGTGAGTGTTTTGGACATCCTGATAATAATGAATTACAGTCGTCCAGCCTGGAAGTAATAAATGCATGAACTAGTTTTTCAGCGTCACTCTGAGACAGGATATTTCTAACTTTAGAGATGTTGCACAAATGGAAGAAAGCAGTCTTACATATTTGTTTAATATGTGCATTGAAGGACATGACCTGGTCAAAAATGACTCCAAGGTTCCTCACAGCGTTACTGGAGGCCAAGGTAATGCCATCTCCTGTCATGTGTCTCCTGTTCCTGCTGCACGTTCACATCATCATGGTAATATTGTGTGTGTGTGTGTGTGTGTGTGTGTGTGTGTGTGTGTGTGTGTGTGTGTGTGTGTGTAGGGTCACATGGAGGGCGAGGTTTGGGGTTTGGCCCCCCACCCCCTCCTCCCGGTTTGCGCCACCGTCAGCGATGACAAAACGCTGCGGCTGTGGGAGACGTCAGCCAATCACCGCATGGTGGCCGTCCGCAAGCTGAAGAGAGGTCAGAGTAACGGGATGGGCGTCCGCTTTTACTAATGTCCCTGAACGCGTCACAGCTCCAGATTGCCAGTAATCGGATACTTGGTGCGTGTTGCAGGCGGTCGCTGCTGCGCCTTTTCTCCTGACGGGAAAGCGTTGGCGGTCGGTCTGAGCGACGGCGGCGTGCTGGTGGTGAACGCAGACACGCTGGAGGACCTGCTGAGCTTCCACCATCGGCGTGACGCCATTTCTGATATCCGCTTTTCCCCAGGTACACACACACACACACACACACACACACACACAGTCATTTACTGCAGATGTTTCATTCTGTGCACTTTGAAATCAGCTGTTAAGCTAACACGTGTCTGCCTGGACTGTGAGACACCCTGGAGAACGCACCAGGCCACGGTGCTAACCGCTGATGTGTTTCCTCCTCCTTCGCTGGTGGCAGCGATGAGCTGAAACATCTGCAGCCGTTGGCTCTTATATCACATGCCGCCTGCTTTTTTATCAACGGTTCCCTTTGACGAACACATCAGGAGAAGCTTTACAGAACCCCCCCAGATGAACACAGCTCTTTGTTGAGGTGTTGCCAGGTCAGGCAGGTAGATATGGAGGGTGAAAATAACCAGCCACAGTTTCCTGTCCTGACTTCTGTCTTACAAAAAGAGGAGGATCAGTCAGAACACCACCTTCCTGCACACACGCTGCGAGGTTTTATAAAGACGGCTGTCGTGTTTGTAAATGTGTGAGCTTCGCTGTGCACATGAACTGTTGTAACTTAAAGGCAGAGCCATGAACGTGCTGATTTGCTGTGATCTGATCTTTTGTGGGTCATGTGACAGACTGTGTGTGTTCCGGGTGTTCGTGCTCTCAGACTCAGGTAAATACCTGGCGGTGGCGTCACACGACAGCTTCGTGGACATCTACAACGTGCTGAGCAGCAAGAGAGTCGGCATCTGTAAAGGAGCGTCCAGTTACATCACGCACATCGACTGGGACGCCCGAGGTAGCACACGGCTCTCTCTCTCTCTCCCATCCGAGTCGCTCTCACACCTGCACACACCTGACAACAGCAGTGCTTGTTAAATCATAATTTCACACTTTAGATGCTGCCCTCCGCCCAGCAGGGGGCGCTGTTTAACAGAGTAAAGGCCTCAGAGTAAACGCTGGGCCTCTGGAGACGAGCGTCCTCCGGTTTTTCCCGCTCGGTGAGCAGCCGGCGAGTGTTTGCGGACATGTTGGCGTCTTCTGTGCGAACTGTGCTGCTGTCTGCTACCAACCAAAACAACCACGCTCAGGTTATTGGTCCATATTTCCATAGCAACCAGAGGTTATCAGGGGTCACCGACCCGTCCCTAATGTGACTGAGGACTAAGTTAAAGGGTAAATGCTAATTTTGAATGATGCACAGAGAGTCTGCGAGCAGACGGCGAGATCTGCGAGCGCGTTCAGCCGCTGCGTTATTCTTAGTCCAGACGATGTTTCTCTGCTGTCTTTGTGCTGCAGGTAAACTGCTGCAGGTCAACACGGGAGCCAAAGAGCAGCTGTTCTTTGAAGCCCCGCGAGGAAAACGACAAACCATCAGAAACTGTGAGGTCAGTGTGCATGCTGAGCGAGAGGAGGAGGAGCTGGGGTTCATGATGTCACGCCTCCAACGTATTTCCAGCGGTGTGAACGAGTCCGTTTGTTTCGTACCGGAGACAGAAAAGCTTGACGTGTGGAAACGACCCGTGTGTGTCGTGTTGTGTGTGTGTTTGTGCAGCTGGAGCGGATCGAGTGGGCCGGCTGGACGTCGGTTCTGGGCTCCACCTGTGAGGGAATCTGGCCGACGCACAGCGACATCACCGACATCAACGCCACGTCGCTCACCAGAGACCACGCGCTGCTCGCCACCGGAGACGACTTTGGCTTCCTCAAACTGTTCAGCTATCCCGTCAGAGTACGACACACAACCTCAACGACACACACACACACACACACACACACACACTGTACAGAGAAGACTGCATTCTTTCTAGTGGCCAGCAGGGGGCGACTCCTCTGGGTTCAACGCTGTCTGATTGTTCTGAAGTGCTCGCCTCGCGGTTTCTCAGCCACAGCCTCCCAGGTTTCAATGTGGCGATAGAAAAGTCAGTTTGGATAACTTGTGTGACTTCCTGTAAAGTTAGGACCAATCAGAGTGCCCCTCTGACCTCAGGTGTTTGAGTGTGTGTACCTTTCCTCTTAAGGACCTGCTTCCTTTCCTCCTGCAGGGTCAGTACGCTCGCTTTAAGCGTTACGTGGGCCACAGCGCACAGGTCACAAACGTCCGCTGGGCTCAGGATGACTCCACGCTCCTGACGGTGGGCGGGGCTGACACCGCCCTGATGATCTGGGTGAGGGAGCGAGGAGGCGTGGTCAGCGTGGAGGGGGACGGGCCTTTGTTTCGCGACAGCCGACCGCTCGTAGACAGCGAGGAGTCGGATGACGACATCGAGGAGGACGGAGGTTTGAAAATATTGTTTCGATAAACACGAATCCAAAGTTTACAGTTTCGTCTTTAATCGTAGCCTCGGCAACATCATGAACAGAGAGCAGCGCTGGTGCTAAACTCAGCAGGCGTCTCTGCACCAGCTCACAGTTCAAAAAACGAGGTTCAGATCTGCACCAAACACGATGGCGTCGCCCTTTATCCGTACTCCACCTCTCAGCTATCGTAGCTGTGACATCATAAAGCAGACACAGACAAACCTTCATGCATCCAAACAAACACGAACAAAGTCTCTGCCTGAAAGCTTCAATGCAAAAATGTCTGGATCCAGGTGTCACATGACCTCTCAGTGAAGCACCAACATAAACCCAGAAGCCGTCCCTCAGATCTGTAACTGTGTGTGTTTAAAGGCTACGACAGCGACGTCGCCCGCGAGAAGACGGTGGATTACACCACGAAGATGTACGCCGTCAGCATCAGAGCGATGAGAGGAACCAAACCTCACCAACAGCTGAAGGAGCTCTCTGCTGAGGAGAGGTACGCACACACACACATGCACACGCACACACGTGCACACACACATGCACACACACACCTGCACACATACACGTGCACACACACATGCACACGCACACACGTGCACACACGCACACACGTGCACACACACATGCACACGCACACACGTGCACACACACATGCACACACACACCTGCACACATACACGTGCACACACACACTTCTGTTTTTTACCATCATAATGAATCAGGATCTGTATTTTGGGACGGGTGCATTAAAAACATGTCGGAGTGTTGCTGGTAAAATATGACAAAGGGTCCCATATCTGAGCGCACACTAATGAAAAACATCACATTGCAAAAAACACTAGTGATACTTCCTAATACTGCAAACTAAATCATGTAGAATACTTTATGACATTTAAAAAAATCTGTAGCTTGTTTTGTCCAAATTTGTAACAATTATTTAATATATGAACAAAATAAATCTTTATGAAAATCAGAGACAGTTGAAGAGAAAATGCTCTAAAATAAAACAAGGAACAAAACTTCACCGAAACTCAAAAGCTGAGACCGAGCAAGATGACAGGTAATAGTCAAAGACACTAACACAGTAAGACGGGACAAAGAGGGAGAAACACAGGACGTGATAAACTCGTACAAATGAAATCTTCACATCTTAATCTTTTGCTGACAGCAGCGAAAACATCCAACCAGAAAAATACAACAAGAGCTTCAAAGAAGTTCAAAATGGCTAAAGAACAGAAAATCGTAATCAAGAACTCTCCAGCCAGTCAGAGGTCACTCTGTGAGATTACATCTCTGTCCTGGGAGTGAGCTGGCAGAAGAAATCATGCAGTCGAAGCCCGAACAGCAAACCCATAATAAACACTGGGACCACACATTTTAACACAGCCTCTCAGCTTCAAGCTCCACAGACTTCTCCGGTTTCTTAAACGTGCAGGATGTCTTCGTGCTCTCTGTGATTTCCTTTAACGAGTTCTTGAGCTTTGTTTGACTTTCCAACATGTTCTATCCTCGCTGTCTGTTTCAGTGAAGGTGACGTTCCCTGTGTGCGCGCCCGTGTGCTGATGTGCTCGTGCATGCTCAGGCTTCTGCATGCTGAGTGGATCCTTCTGGCTGCGTTTGTAATATCGGTGTTCACAGTTCACTCAACAACAAAGGGCACCTTCAAGGAACAAATGTGTCTGCAGGGTCAGAAAGCTGCAGACCAAAGATCGATCTAAGCACCAACCAGGTTCCTTCTTCTGAAGACAAATGAGGTTTATTTGTTAAAATGTTACCATATTATAAATTATTGTGAAGAAGCTGAGCCTGGTGTCAAACGTAGATAACTGAGGGGCCTTTCATATGAACTTGTTTTGAGCAGCCACCTATCCCACACGGGGAGCTCTGGGCTTTAGGTTTTAAGTCATTGAGTGGGTGTAAAACTGATCTGGTTGCAGATTTTCACAGATGTGTTTTTCAGCCCTGCAGATTTCTCCTGAACTCACAAAGTTATGACATCTCAAAAAAGCTGTAAAGATGGTTAAAAAGAGGACAAACCTGAGCCCACCCCCGTGGACCTGCAGGGTGCATGAAGGCTTTAAATATACTACAGTAATTGTAGAACATTAAATCAGCTGATTGCGAGGTGGTCATGTGGGAACTTTGACTGGGTTTATATGAAGTGAGGATTTTCCAGCCTGTAGAAATGGGGTTTTCCAGGCTGTGGAGTAGCAGCATCAGGTCTGTGCTCTGAGTTCATGCACAGAAGCTCCCGGTGTGCACGTCTTCTCTTCCAGCGCCTCAGTGACAGAATCTCTGACCAAATCTAGAACTTGCAGGTATTTGGAAGAAAATGGGCGGCTCCAAGTTTCAGAGTCCGGAGAATCTTTAATGATAAAGGGTGCCCGTGCTGACTGATAACTCTTGTTTTGTCCCTCTGTGGTACCCTTAGTTCCTGAGTGTTGCTGCTGCTCTCTGGCCTCGTAGAAACTCTTAATATCTCTGCTGTGTTTTAACTTGCAATTCCCCTGGAGGCAGGGCATTGTCAAGTAAGTATGAGCCAACACTTACTGTGTGGATGGTCACACTTAAAACCTCAGCTGCAGCCACTTTGGATCATTTATTAAAGCCCAAAAGCAGAAATCTCTCATTTACAAATCCATTCAAACTCTTCCTCGATCAGACATAACACCACGACTCGTCGAGGCGTGGACTCAGCAGGTGTGAACAGGTCCTGTAGGTCCTGCTAGCTGTGGGGTGGAGCCTCCGTGGATCCGACTCGTTTGTCCGGCACATCTCACTGAGGCTCGACTGGACTGCGATCTTTTAAAAATTAGAGTTAACACCTCAAACTTGTCGCTGTGCTGCACAAACCGTTCCTGTTCGTGGAGGAAGGAGGCCGCGACCTTCCTCCATCGCTCTGTGGTCCAGTTCTCATTGTTGGTGCTTTCAATGGGGGACGGGGGTCAGCCTGACAGCTTTCTATCAGAACCAGCATGAAGCTTTAGCCCGTCTGTTGGATCGGACCACACAGACCAGGCTTCAGTCCTCACACGCATCGGCCTCCACGGCCCCGTCGCTGCTTCACCGCTGTTCCTTCTTTGGACCATAAAAACTGACCCCTGCAGACCCACACAGAGCTGCCGTTTCGGAGACGCTCTGACCCAAACTGGCTCGTAGCCTCACACTCGCCCATTTTTCTGCTTCTAACATCAACTTTGAGGACAAAATGTTCACCCGCTCCCTGACAGACCCCGCCCACTAACAGGTGTCATTGGTGTTACCTGTCAGTGCTCATAATGTTATGTTGGATCGAGTTTTGGCCTAAATATGTTCGGAGCCTGACTGCAGGTAACGTGAGCCGACTGGACACACCTGTGTTTGTAAGACCACAGAGATCACAGAGTGTCAGGACAAAACCAGCCGCCATGTTCAGGGAGCGGTCTCTAGGCTTTTGGGACAACAATATTTCACCTGATGGAAGGACAGGATGTCACTTCCTGTTCCTGTGGGACTTCATCAGCAGAGAAAGATGTTCTATGGGGAGCTCGGCTGAGAATAGTCGGGTTTTCTTCAGAGTAACATCTATCAGATGTTTGGTATCGATGATACTGCAGCAGCCACCTGTGTCTCCCTTTGATAAACAGTAATCCAGGCTCTCTAAGTTCTCAGGTACAGGGCTGCACCTGCTGCTGTGAGGCCACAGGTGTACCTGTGCACGTTAGCCTGCTGACACGGTTAGCTGCACTAGCATGTTAGGCTGGCAGCCTGAGGATTAAACAGCAGCAGCAGCATGGTAGCGTTTTGTTAGCATGTACTTTTAGCCACAGTGTCTCTGAGGAGGAAAGCCTGTGTGTGCATGTGTGTGTGCATGTGTGTGTTGAGTCTAAGTGTAGATAAGAGTGCGTGACTGTGTGTGTTTCTAAAGCTCTACCTTGGTTCTATCCCTCTGCTGTCCAGGGGATCCAGGTAACACCTGCCTGCCTGTACACGTCCTCTTCATCATGTTCGCATCACACGCTGGCATTTCATGAAAACGTTTCAGTGCATTTTCGTCCTGTTTGGTCACTTTCATCTCTCCGTCATGCACCACTTCTCTTACGGCTTTGGCGCCTTGATGAACCGTTCGCAGCACTGAGCGATAACGTCTCGCTTCAGTTGCTAAAAACGAAAGTTTATTTGCCAACGAGGAGCCTGTGCAGACCCCGCGGACCCACGTCCAAACCAGTCGTGCTGGAGGACGATGCTGTGGTGGTGGACCTGCCCTCGTGGACTCTGACGGTTTGGTCAGAAACGTGCTCATGAGTAACCCGCTGGAGGTCACACAGAGGAGCAGACACCTGTGCAGCTCAGCTCCTGTAACGTCTGCTGGTGTCTGCTCCTCCACATGTGCAGGGAGATACAGACGGTCCGTACCATCCTGGAGGAGCTGACGGGGGTGCACCACCACCTGCTAATCTATTTCCTTTTTGGGGTGGTCTCATTGTTGCCCCTCCAGTGCACCTGTTGTCACTTTGAGTTGCACCTGTGCAGGTGAAACAGGTTCATAAGTGGATACTGAAGTTTAACTGTTGTTACCATGACGATCGACGATGCAGTGGACCTGGTTCACTCACCGCAAAATCCTGCAATTACTGCAACAGTTACTAGAGTTATTACTCTGAATAGCAGCAGAACCTTCCTCCTGTAGGTTTCAGGTGCTTCGGCAGGTCGACGCTCTCGGTTTAGTGAAAGGTTGCATTAAACTCCGCCTCTTCCCTCTAGTCGCCAACAGACAACAAAGAGCACAGTGACGCTGTAACGTTAACAAATCTGAGTGATTTAACTCTGTCAGAAGCAGAACGGCTGCTCTAACCCAAATGGCTGCTGGTCTGAGTTCACAGAAAGAGGGCGGAGCACCAGCACACCGCCGGATCAGCTGTTTAACCCCCCGATGTGTAGTTCATGTTGTCTCCATGTCTGTGCTCCACCCGTGTGTCTCTGATCTCGTCCTTTAACATGTAAATGAATGTTTTTCTGTCTTTGACTCATCGACCGATTCATTGACACGCTGATCGATCCTCCAGGCCGCCAGTGAGCCGAGCGGCGCCGCAGCCCGAGAAACTCCAGAAAAACAACGTGTCTAAGAAGAAGCGGCCAGTCGAGGTGAGTCTGTCCGTCCGTCCGTCGGCCCGTCTGTCCGTCTGTCCCTGCGTTCACCGTCCGCCTCTCCCTCTCCAGGACCTGATCTTGGACCACGTCTTTGGTTTTCGGGGCTTCGATTGTCGTAACAACCTGCACTACCTCAACGACGGCGCCGAGATCGTGTACCACACTGCCGCCACCGCCATCGTGCACAGCCTGAGCACCGGTAACACAAACAACACACCTGAGTGACGTGCCGTGGACGATGAGTCCTAACGTGAGGTTGTTTCAGCAGGACGGACGCACGAACAGTCGGCAGGCGTTGGTGTCCGAAAGATGTTAAAGTCTCTGTAAATGCATCTCTGCATGTGCCCCTTCTACCTGCTGCACAGAAACATGATGTCAGTGATGTAACATTTAATATTCAAAAGCTTTTATGTTTGTGAAAACGGTTTTACCAGGTAAATTATTGTTGTTGTTGTTAAACAGTTTCTGCTGAGCAGACTCAGCTTCATGCACACCTGTGGAAACGTGTTCAGGTTGTATCTACCTGCTCGCACACAGGAAGCAAAGATGTTGCGCTCCACCGGATCTCATCCACAAAAACACGCCTCTTACCTCACAGAGCCGTTCGGCTGCGATTGGTCGGTTCGTGTTTTATGCTGCAGCCACACTGAGGTGGATGGAAGCTGCAGCACAGAGTGATCGTGGCCGAGTTCGGTGGACTTGTGATGTCTTTGCTTCGCAGATGGAGACCGGCGGTCTTCAAACTTTGGTGCATTAAGACGGTGATGAAACGGCGATAACGTGTCTGCTGTCAGCTTGTGGCTAAATGGGCTCAAGTTGGCAATTTCATGCAGTCTGTTTGTGACAATCCGGCGATCAGCTGTGAGGAAACAGCTACAATTACACATTTGTTGCTGCACAGAGATGCACATTCAGAGTGCGGCCAAAGCCTCACAGATCACGTGTCCATAAATCAGGACACGGATGCTGCAGGACGGCAGTTTAACTGCAGAATGACAGACGTGACAGACCAGGACCCGGCTCGGGTGAGCTGTGCAATCACCTTTGGATGGAAAGTGGTCGGCGTGCTGCACGCTTCAATGACCACTTACGCTCCTTTGATAACAGACAAAACTCAGCGCAGTCGTCACAGGTACACAAAGTCACAGATTTGTGCCTGGATGTTGCCATCCTGTGTTTTTTGCTTTGGATCCAAAAAAGCACCTTAAAATCAGCAAACTCTGATTGCTGTCAGTGTCGCCCGTCGCTGTCGTGTAGCAGCAGATTGCTGATCTCCGGCAGCGTGGGCGGAGCTTTGCACAAGAAAAGCACAGCTTCTGACGACATCACCAGAAAGAGCACCATCCATTAGAACGAAACCGTGTCGTTAGCTCACCTGCATGTGTGCGTTTGCAGCCCCACAAACACCACGAGTGTGTCCGTGACTCGTGCTGAATGAAGCGACGACTGAGCTTCAGCCAGAACTGGAGTTTATTTGGTGCCTTGCAGGTAAAACGTGTCTGTTTACGTGTCTTTGCAGGAACGCAGAGCTTCTACCTGGAGCACACGGACGACATCCTGTGTCTGACCGTCAACCAGCACCCCAAATTCAAGAACATCATCGCCACCGGGCAGATCGGTACGCTTCGGTGTTTGTGTGTGTGGCGTGTCGCTGTCGGAGCATGGCCGTGTTTTCCTCCACTAACTGTACTAAAGAGAAGTCCCGCTTTCTCTCCCTGCTTCCTGTTTAACCCGCCTGCTTTGCTTTATTTCTACTGACACAGTGGAAACTGACCGACTCACCGACAGGGAGCAAACGCTTATTGCAGCTGTGAGGCGCCACGTCGCGACAGTTTCTCCTCGAGGTCTGCGTTTAAAATACAGGAAGTGGGGTTAATTCAGCCAATCAGGAAACACAAGCAGAGCTTCACGTCCCAGAGTTTGTTGTTTTGGTATCGAACCGTAGAGCAGCCGAAGCGATCCGCAGTCAGGAACGTCGAAGCTCCGCGCAGACGCAGGATGAATGAAACGTTTTTTCTGCCTGGCTGTGACTCACTGCAGGTTTTCATGTTGTTGTCTTTGTGTGTGTGTTTTTGGCCGGCCTCATTTGTCACCATCGCTCTCACAACACCTCAGGTGACGGCGGTGAACTCCCAGGTAAACTACAAACGACCCCCACGCCTCCCATCACAGCAAACTGAAACCCAGAGCGCCCGACTCAAACAGACGTGTCGGTTTGGTTTTTACTGCTACGTCTCATAAAAACATGCAAAGAAACAATTTAAACAAAATATTTTTGCATTTTTAATCGTTTTTTTCAACAAAATTTTTACATTTATAAAAAAGTAATATTTTTCTGATAAATGTTCAGAAATTTCATTAAATATTTAAAATATATTCATGTTATACAAAAGTTCTGTTTTTTTAATCAAAAACTTTAAAAGCTCTTCAAAATTCTACTTTTCCAGCAGTGCATCAGCATTAACACATTTTTCATATTGTCTCATATTCTTAATCATTGTTTTTTGCACACATTTAAATAAATATTTGTTCCTGGGTAACTTTGTATCAACAAACACAGGATAGTTTCACCACATTAAATGATTGAAGTGACTCATTTCTGACGGGCTGATGTTAGTTTGTTGGATTTTCCTCGATGATCGATCAATATGATGTTTCTGCTGCATGTTTGACGCTCGTCTCAAACTGAACTCATTCGATTTGTTTAACGAGTAGTTAAAGTACTCGAGTACCAAACGCAAACTCTTGTGCCGTCGTGCTTTCCTGACCTGAACGCTCGGATTAAATAAATGGGGCGCGAGCGCTTTAGCGTGTCGGTGAAACAGCGTCTGGTTTTCAGGGTGTCTGTCGGCTGCACCGACCCCTCTGTGTCGCTGTCGTAGTTTATCCCTCTGTGGTCGTGCTGACGCTGCCTGTGGCTGTAACGGCGATAAACACTCGCTCGTCTCCGCGCAGGAACGACCCCCTCGATCCACGTGTGGGACGCCATGGGCAAGCAGACGCTGTCCATCCTCCGCTGTCCGCACAGCAAAGGCGTCGGCTACGTGAACTTCAGCGCCACGGGAAAGCTGCTGCTGTCCGTCGGAGTGGACCCTGAACACACCATCACGGTGTGGCGCTGGCAGGAAGGTCAGAGACTTTCAGCGTGGTTTGATTCGCGTCCCTCTGTGGTGGCAGTAACCATGGTAACCAAGGCGTGTCTCCTCTGCAGGATCTCGAGCGTGCGGGAAAGCCGGACACCCGGACCGGATCTTCGTGGTGGAGTTTCGGCCCGACTCGGACGCTCAATTCGTGTCGGTGGGAATCAAACACGTGAAGTTCTGGACGCTGGCCGGCGGCGCGCTGATGTACAAGAAGGGCGTGGTGGGGACGCTGGAGGACGGCAGGATGCAGACGATGCTGTCTGTCGCCTTCGGTGCGGTGAGTTCGCCGCTTCGCACCGGGGCCCCTCAGGAGCGTCGTTCAGTCGAAGCACGTAAGCTGACCGTGTCTGTGTTCACGTTTGCAGAATAACTTGACGTTCACAGGGGCCATTAACGGGGACGTGTACGTGTGGCGAGATCACTACCTGCTGCGGGTGGTGGCGAAGGCTCACACCGGGCCGGTCTTCACCATGTACACCACCCTGAGAGACGGACTCATCGTCACCGGTGGAAAGGAGAGGCCGTGAGTCACACGCCGACCGCTTCACCTGTATCGAGAACCATCTTCATAATACAGATTTTTTTACAAGGATGTTTATATATGATGTCATGAAAACGGGACCAACCATGAGTTTGGAAGTTTTCTACTTCCTGAAAGCCGCCAATTCTCTGTGGACGGACGTCGCCACAGAAACAGAGATCAGCTGATCTCTGTGTGATGGCCTCATTCGTGGTCCTCTGTTTAAGCTGTTTCAGTCTGCAAGCTCCTTTGCAACCCAACCTCCTCTTTCGTGCTGTTTCTAGTTTTTCAGTTTTTGTTTTCTCCTTCGTGGAAAAAATGGAAAATAAAAACTGTGTGTTTGTGCGTCAGGACGAAGGAGGGCGGAGCAGTGAAGCTCTGGGATCAGGAGATGAAACGATGCCGAGCCTTCCAGCTGGAGACCGGGCAGCAGGTGGAGTGCGTGCGGTCGGTCTGCAGAGGCAAGGTGAGACCTCGACATCCTTTCCCCGCTCCTCCTCCTCCGCCATCACCCGTCCGTCTTCCTCATCGCCTCGGCCTCTCGTCTTCCTCAGGGTAAGATCCTGGTGGGGACGAAAGACGGCGAAATCATCGAGGTCGGGGAGAAGAACGCGGCGTCCAACCTGCTGCTGGACAGTCACGCTCGGGGGGGAATCTGGGGTCTGGGCGCTCATCCAGCCAAAGATCTCTGCATCACGGCGAGCGACGACGCCACCATCCGCCTGTGGGACCTCGCCGACAAGGTGCATTCATACATATGTCAGTGATTGGAGTCCAGGCTCTTTAGGACGGTGGTGGTGGATGCTGGGGTGGAGGAGGGCTAGAAACAGCAGGCGCTGCTGCAGGTTTGCGTGATGTGGTGCAGCGAGGGCTGGTTAAAGAAATCTTCTCTCTCTGGTTAGAAACTGCTGAACAAAGTGTGCGTCGGCCACGCGGCTCGCTGCGTCAGCTACAGCGCAGACGGAGAGATGCTGGCGGTGGGGATGAAGAACGGGGAGTTCCTCCTCCTCCTCTCCAATTCGCTGAAGATGTGGGCGAAGAAGCGAGACCGCAGCGCCACCGTCCAGGACATCCGGTAAGAGAGCGAGAGCGGGAGCGAAGAATGAAAGCGCTGGATGTTTGTTTGACTGAACTCTGTGCGCAGCTTCAGTCCCGACCGGCGGCTGTTGGCGGTCGGCTCCGTGGAGAACACGGTGGACGTGTACGACGTGAGCGCAGGGCCGACGCTGAACCGGCTGGTTTACTGCAGCGACATCCCCGCCTTCGTCCTGCAGCTCGACTTCTCTGCTGACAGCTGCTACGTACAGGTACACCCACAGCTGGAGGTCTCTTCCTGTTAGACGGGGGCTCTTCCTTCCCACAGTCACCAGGTGCTGTGATACAACTGCTCTACATGTATATGTACACAAAAAACACACACACCCTACAAAACCCCCGGGCCATCCTCGGTCCAGCTACAGATCACACACACACACACACACACACTCGTTCTGCTGACGCGTGCATCACAATCTCACCTGCAGGTGTCCACGGGAGCTTATAAGCGGCAGGTGTTCGAGGTTCCTTCTGGAAAGCTGGTGAGCGACCCGATCGCCATCGACAGAATCACCTGGGCAACGTGGACCAGGTAACGCACAAACACGGCTCATGGTCGCCCGCTCGACCCCCGAGCTAACCCGACAACGAGCCGCGGCGCTGACTCGCCCTTTCTGTCGTCTCTTCTTCAGCATCCTGGGAGACGAAGTTTTGGGGATTTGGCCTCGAAACGCCGACAAAGCTGACGTGAGCTGCGCGTGTGTGTCTCACGGCGGCCTGAACATCGTCACCGGCGACGACTTTGGATTGGTCAAACTGTTCGACTTCCCCTGCACAGAGAAGTTTGTGAGTTTGTGGCCACGTCTCATTTATTCAGTATTAGTTGTTCGGAGGTAGGAAAGGAAATAAATGAAGGAGTCGAGGAGTCGAGGGCTTCATGAGCACTAACGGAAAGAAACAAAGTCACAAGTTTGAAGTTAAACTTTTGACCTTTTGATCTCTGAGGATATCAAACTTCTGTGTTTGTAGGCTCAGGTTCAGTTTATTCTTTGTATCCAGGACTAAGTTGATTAAACGGACGCACGTTTGCTTCGTTTCCGTCTGCAGGCCAAACACAAGCGCTACCTCGGCCACTCGCCTCATGTGACCAACATCCGCTTCTCCCACGACGACAAATACGTGATCAGCACAGGAGGAGACGACTGCAGGTAACCCGATCACCGATCAGTAACACAACCATGCACTCAGGAGAGATTAAACTAATAAAACTGTTTTTATTCTCTCTGACTACAAAGACAAGATGCTGCGACGGGCGCATGAACCTTGGTTTTCACACGTGTGTCTTTATTGATGGTTTCGGAGTCAAACACCTTCTAAACAGATTCTTACAGCAGTTACAGTCTCACCTGTTTTCCACCTGTTTTTGCTGTGAGCCTGTAAATGTAATTCAAAGTGCTCGCTGTTAAAATATCTTCTAAGATTAGGAAAGTTATGACTTGTATCCAACACCTCTGTTCGTGTTTAAGAGATTTCAGGTAAAGTTTAAATAGGGGCGGGCTTTACGTTTGCGTAATACCGATCTGCACCACAAGGTGGTGCAACAAGCCCATCGATGTTTTTTTAACCAGTTTAAACTTCGTGTTTAAAGCTGAGGAAACTGGGACTAAAAGGAAGTTAAAGCGCAGCGGTCGCAGGGGCAACGCTGCCCCCTGGTGGACAAAGTCTTTGTTACCGTTTGCAGAAGTTGACAACACAAAATTCCTTGAATGCCTGTTTGTGTGTTTCAGTGTGTTTGTGTGGAAATGTCTGTAAACACTCGGATCCACAGCGCCTTAAACAGACCACAAGTGGATCCAGAGGGAGTCGAACCCACAACCGGCCCGAGCCTCCAACGCCACGTGGGCCAGACTGCGACTAACCCTCCACGACGGACGGATGCATGGACATGAACACAAATCCTCGGGAGAACCCGCGGACTCTATCAGCTGATGTTTACATGTTTGTCGTTTTCTTTTTTGGTCACATGGTGAAAAAAACATTAAAATTTGTGCAAACAGGTTCATAAAGTGAGGGAGCGCACAGCTGTAAACCAATCAAACGACAGACCCCTCCCTCACTTTGGTCAACCACACGCTCAGATTTGCACGTCAGTGCGCCCCCTACAGGGCTCAGCGGGAACCTTCCTGATGAATCACATGACTCAGAGGATCCATCAGCTGGTATCTGACCAAAACCCACAGGATGACCTTGTTGGACGGTTTCTGCCACCTGCTGTTACCCATAAGGCCTTGCGTTGGGTCGTCGCAGTGGTTTGAACATTTAAGACATTCCAGTCGGCTCAAAGCTGCTGCTTCCACAAAACTGAGCAGAAATCAGAGTTTAAGGCAGCTCTAACTGAGCCGCGCTGAAGGTAATTAAAACGGCTTCAAACGAACGTACGGAGGCCCACAAGTGTCACACAAGAACTATTTCTCTAACATCTTCAGACGCAAACGGTAACCTGAAGATACTCGGTTACATTCAGGGGTTATTTTGGCAATAAGTCATTTACGATAAAATTCACACGCATCTGTCAAAGTTTCAAAGAAAACAGAAACTATAAAAAGAGACGTTAAAGTTAAATTAGGAGGAATAAACGCAAAGACACAAACGGTACAGCAAACGAAATTAAAATGTCATTAAATTAAAGAAAAAGAAAAGACTAAACTAAAAGATTTATTACATCGCTCTGTTTTCTTTTCTTTGAGGTGGATTCATTTTTATCTTCAAGTAAAACACAAAAGTCTTTGTTTATATAAAAACGAAACACCGACATGAAGCAAAATAAAAACTACGAGAAACAAAATGAAATCACTACAGGAGGGGTCAAAGGTCATCCTGGTACGTTGCTCTGGTTTCTGTTTGGTTTTGGTGCAATCAGCATCTTATTACGTGTTGTTGAAATGAGCCGATTCGAGCGGGCGTTCTGGTCAAACTAAGATTTCTTTATGCAGAAAACAGAAACGTTAAACTGCTTTATAATAAAAAATAATCGAATGCAGTTTCATATTTACAGAAACTTTGTGAAGTTTGTCTGAAAAAACAAAAAGTCTCACGGTCACGTTTCATGTCAGCGCCTTCACTGCATCTGTGGTTGGACATCGTCACACTTAAGTGCCTTTCCGGATCTTTCTACCTGTGTTTGTTTCTTTTGGACGAGGTTCATATGCTCGATTTATTTGTTTTTAATCCATAATTGAACTCGTGTTTTCTTTTTTGTACTCTGTCTGGTGCTACACTGAGAATGTTCATCCAAAAATGGACGTTTAAAAAAAGAAGCTTTTTGCTTTGCTGCTGCTTTTTGTTTGAAAGACGTGAAACATCCAAAGCTTCGTGATCGTACCAACACGCAGGAAGAGATATTTGGAGACGTGTTCATGTTTCTCGGAGCGTGGACGAGTCTGTGTGTCGGATTATTAACGTGTAACTGTCGTGAAACGTGTCAAAGAGTCTGTGTGTGTAACCATGAACGAAAAAAAACCTGTGAGAAACCAACCGACTGCTGACTCGTTTATCCACACACACACACACACACACACAGTATTGACCCTCAAAGCTGAATATAGATGGATATGTAGCTCCTTAGCAGCTTATAAAGTTTTGCATATAAAAATATATTACGTAGTTTTTGCTCTGTCAAATTGTATCTCGCCCCTGCAGCGGTCTATCCTTCAAGCTCTCGCAGGTGTTGATAGCCCGGATCTTGTTCTTACTGTTCAGCTGACTCCTCAGGACTTGCCCCTCTGCAGGTACTTGGTGGTTGCAGCTTTCCTAGCGGCCTCTTCATGGATCCCATTCGCCTGTGGGATCCCCAGGTACTTGTAGCCAGTGTTGCCAACTTAGCGACTTTGTCGCTGTATTTAGCGAGTTTTCAGACTATGGGCTCAAAATGTGGTCATAAATATTTTGTACTTGTAAATCGGTTTTGTACTTGCAGATTTGTATGTGTAAAAAAGATTTGTGTGTGGACTTAGCCAAAAAGACCCTGCAAGTTACAAGTACGAATTTTGACCCTATTTTCCTTCCTTTCATCTGATTGGTCAATGTCATGTCAATCACAAATGTAACAATCCAATCAGAGAACAGAGGTCTGGCTGTCGGAGGGGCGCTTTTTTTGAACTGCAGGTCTTTGAAGGGAATAAATGCCCTTTTACATGCCAACCCAGCGTTTTCCTTCATCACCACGAAGGAAAACAGTCTGTGGTCGTCCGAGTTTGGTGATTTTTGTGTCACAGGTCTACGTGTTTAATACAGGGACTTCCACAGCCTTTTCAACAGTGCTGCGGACCGCGGGGTGGGGGCGGGCAGTGTTTTGGAAATGACAGTCTTCTTTACAAAGATTTCTTCGTTATGAATTAGCATACATGTTTTTATTGAACATTTGAAGAACCAGCAAAAAAAACAAACTCTTGTAGTTCACATAAAGTCAGAGATAAAAACAACAAGGAGCAGGTGCATCTAGTGCAGGTAGAGCTGCTGCAAAAACCCACAGAGCCCAGCAGCCAGCAACAAATTCTGGATCCTTTGCTTTTAGTTAGCAGTTAGCATTAGCAGCACATGCTGCGTCCGATGTGAAAGGACTTTTATGCTGCGCACTGTGACTCACAGCAATGGTCCTGGGTCAGCCCTGACGTTGTGTTAAACTAATCCTAAAGTAATGATGGTGTTTCTAACCACTGATATACCACAACTTTATCCTTTCAACAGCTGCTGAAAGTTAGGGGACCTAGCTGCTATCGGATATTTATATAGAGATTACTCTTCAAGGACCTGCAGTTCAAAAAAGCGCCCCTCCAACAGCCAAACCCATCTGTCCTCTGATTGGATTGTTTAATTTGTGATTGACATGACATTGACCAATCAGCTTAAAGGAAGAAAAATAGGGTCAAAATTCGTACTTGTAACTTGCAGGGTTTTTTTGGGCTAAGTCCACACACAAATCTTTTTTACAAGTACAAAACCGATTTACAAGTACAAAATATTTATGACCACATTTTGAGCCCATATCAGACCCCTTAGCGACTTTGTTTCTAAAAAAAGTCGCTAAAAAGGACGTGAAAGCACGTATCGCTTTTACTCTCAACAAGCAGCGGGTGCTGTAACGCAGTCAGTTCTTCTTTTACTCTTATGCTGTTTTGTGGATCACAAGGTTTAAAACTACTTATAAACACACACACACAAAGTAACTCCACCAGAGTGCCTTTTCGGGTCACTTTTGCCGGTCCAAGACCGGGTAAAGGAGCAGGGTTGGAATTGTGACATTAAGAAAAAACAATAATTGCTAAAAGAAATTTAATTTGTAGTTCTAAATAAACTCTAAATGCATTTAGGACGTTTTTTACTCACTTTGTCTCTTCCACGATGTTATTTCTCTCTCCAACAACATAGGTTACAATTAGATTAGCATGACCAATTATGCAAATTAGGCGATGACGTCATTTAGCGACTTCTAGCGACTTTTAGGACAACCAATAGCGATTTTCCTTACTGAGGAGTTGGCAACACTGCTTGTAGCTGTCCTGTATGTCTGCAATGTTGGCTTCTGGTAGTTTGAGCCCCTCGGCTCTGAACCGCGGTAAAGTGAGCCGTCATTTGTGAGCCGCGGTCAAGCCAGCCGTCTCCTATCCGCCGCATAAATTTCCTTGCGCTTTTACACCAGTCTTTACGGTAGCGCCTTTTCGCTTTATATCCTGATTGAAAGCCTAGACTCGAACAGTCACACGCACACGCGCGCACACAAATTACAATGGAACAGCCCAATACAGCCATCGTGACAGTCTGGTTGCATATTCAAAAATTCATTAAAAATCATTCTTAAAAGTCGATGCCAAGCTTTCAACACAATCCTCTTCTCGGACACCTACTTTACCTCTGGGCCAGGTTTTACCCAGATTTACTTTAAATAGATCATTTCGTGTCACCTACTGTGGTATCGCAAGAAATAAGTGGTTATATAAATATGAGTATACATAATAGTTATTATTCATAGATACCTACATCCTAAGTTCCTGTTAATCTTCTGAAAGAAACAGAATGAATGTGTTGTTACAATGGTAATGCCAGGAGAGGCAGTATTAGTTCTGTGTTACATTAATGTGTAAGGAAGTGGAAGAAGAGTGTGTCCTGTAGGAGGCAGTAGAAAATGGATGCTCATGTTCTGTACATGCCCTGAAAGTAAGGTTCAGTAAACCAGTGCAACGATACCCCGGTGTAAGGCTCAGTTATTGTATTTTTATTTTTTGAAGATGCAACATCTTTTTGGCGACGAGGACGTTTAGGGGGAAGGAGTTTGGGCGATCGGACTGAAAGAAAAGAGAAGAACATAAAGTGATGGAGTCGGCTACAGGTTTGGCTAGCTTTTCAAAGAATGCAAAAGTTTTCGGCTGGAAATAGAAGGCAGTGACCTCGAAGCGGAAATGGCTACAATTGGTACGCTAGTAGCGTTCGATCCAAAGAATCAGACTTGGGATGAGTACACGGAAATACTCGAGCAGTTTTTCGCAGCTAACGGGATCGACGATGCAGAGAAACAAAGAGCGATATTAATAAGTGTCGTCGGAGCAGCGACGTACAGCTTGATGCGAAACCTTCTCAGCCCGGCCAAGCCCAAAGACAAAACCTTCCAAGAGCTGGTGCTTCTGATGAAAAATCACTTCGATCCGAAGCCCAGTGAAATTGTGCAAAGGTATAAGTTCGACTCTCGCTCCCGCAAGCCGAATGAAACCGTCATGGAATATGTAGCGGAGCTGCGTCGCCTGGCACAGGATTGTAACTATGGCAACACGTTACAACAGATGTTGAGAGATAGGATCGTCTGCGGAATTAAGGATGACCGAATTCAGAGACGTCTCTTGTCAGAAATAGATCTCACTTTTGACAAGGCTCTGTCAATTGCAGTAGCCATGGAGACTGCAAATAAAAATGCACAGGACCTGCAGACCTCAGGGGCGTCAGCAAAATGTTTCAGTCTCGCTAGAGGACAACAGGAGAGTCGTACCTTTAAAGCAGAAAATAAAGAGTGTTATCGTTGCAAAGGAACCAAGCACACAGCAGCAGACTGTAAGTACAAACAAGAAAAATGTCATGCTTGTGGTAAAATGGGACACATAGCTAGAGCTTGTAAAAGCAAGACTAAACTGAACCAGAAAAAGTATGGATCGACATATGTAAAGAAAGAAAAAAAGCAGAGTTCACACTACAGTACTCACAATGTGGGCGAGAAAGCAGATAACAACAAAACTGATAGCTCTGAAGATGACTCTTTTATGTTGAACTGTGTCAAGTGCAGTCAAGGGCACAAAAGAAAACTGTTCAAGTTAGGGCGTGGCAGTGCGGTACACTTAAGAAGAGTAGACCCCTACACTGTGGATATGCAAATTGATGGAAAAAAGGTGAACTTTGAAATAGACACTGGATGTTGCCTAACAGTCATGAACGAAGCAACATTCAGAGAAACAGGGAAAGACAGCAAGCCCCCCAGCCTGCAGCCCATCAAAATCAAGCTCGAAACTTATACAGGGGATCCTGTTAAGGTGATTGGTGCAACACGAGTCAGCGTCAAATACAAGCAGCAGAAAAAACATCTGCCCCTGGTGGTGGTCGAAGGC